AGGGAGAAAAAGTCAGAGGCAGAAAATTTCTTCTCCACTGCAGAGAAGACTTTCCCACAGTGCAAACATCAATTCTTCGTTCAAATCATCTGCACTGATGCTCCATGACTCCACAGCATCCACCTTCCAGAATCTCCCAAGAAGGGTATCTACTAACTTCCCTCTTGAAGGAGGCATTTCTAAAGATGGGCTTATTGGAAACCATGAAATGTGTCTTCTCAATCAGTTATCTGTATGACAAATCTGCACAACTTGGCACACATAACACACATTACCCCCACTCAGTAATACCTCCTCACCATTCTACTTTCATTTTCCACACCACACAGTGGCCACAAGACTGAAAACAGAGATAACATGATAATAAGAGATAACAGATAACAAGAAAACAAGCCTGAGACCTTCAGGCTACCATTAGCTCAAAGATGGGTAACACACTGTCTAACAAGGAAGAAATGGTCTCACAGCAGGGACTCACTATGGCCAAATGCTGGGGAAATAATTTTCCCAAAATAACTTCCTTCTCTTTTACACACACACACAAACACACACACACACAAAAAAAAAAAAAAAAGTTTAAAGGTTTCAAAAACATGACCTATGAGGACAAAAGCTAAAATTACTGGGTCTGTTTTGCCTAGAAAATAAGAGACTGAAGGGTCACATGATAACAGTTTCCCAGTATCAAAAAGCCTGTTGGAGATGGATATGATGGACTGTTCTCTGTGGCCAGAGAGAAAAGGATGAAAAATTAATCTGCAGTAAAGAAAATTTCAGAGCAATGCAGAAAAGGAGAGAAAGAGTTTTCAGTGTAGGGGCTAAAAGTGAGAAGTGGACCAAAGCTCCAGTCTGTTGGAGAAGACAGTCCAGATTGTTGAGAACAAACCAGACATGTCATGGAATCCTGCTGTGATACAGATGGTGGGACATTTTGTGACCCCTTCCAGTCCTACAGCTTTGTGACTGAGCCTTGATACAGATCAGCCTCACATTTATTCCAATGGGTTTCTCTGTCAAATCACTACTTCAAAATCAAAACAGAAGACTGCAAATCAGATCACTAACAGATTAGCCAGTTAGAACTAAATTTTTGTTCCTAACCCTGACTAAATACAGAATAATCACCAAAATAAGCAGGAACTGGACATGCTGAATCTTCATGCTTTACTTTCAGAAGATAGACCACTTGCTGAGTGACAACATAAAGAGAATTCTCCTGGGTGTGCCTGAGTGATAAAACACAATTCTTTGGCAGCAGCAGACCCAACAAGACTGTAAGGCTAGTTACAATGTTGTAAATCCAAGGTAGCACAGAAGAAATCAGTAGATTTATAACAGCATAATTATGACCAGCATTGAAGCCATTGTATTTTTGCCTGGGAAACAGTAGTTAAGCATTCAGCAAAAGTTCTGTTTTCTCCCCTCAAGCTTTTCACATGACTCTCTGACACATTGCTGGGGTTTTTTTTTCCATGCTCAGACTTCACTATTTTTTACTCAGAGATTTCAGTCGACTTTTAAGATGTCAGGGTAAACCATACATCTGGTTATTCACGTGTTTTCAGATTTTATTGTGATATGGTGTACCTCAAACCCCCTTCCACAAGTGATGGCTTCTCAAAAACCTTAGCAGTGCCAGCATACCTCAGTCAAGCCTGGAGCACCTCTAAGAGAGGCAAACATGCTGACCACTAGCTCATCTGTATTATTCTACACATGTTCCTAAGTTATAGCTACCTCCAGGTCTGTTTTAATCTTGCTGATGAAATATTCCTGCAGAGCATGTTCAATTGGCTGTTGTTTGGACAGTGCATGGGCTCCTGCTTACAAAAGACCCTTTCCAACTCATCTGCAGTGTGTATCACAAAGTATTGCCATTTCCTTTAACACACCTGCAACATGAATAAATGCAAAAGACAGAAACTCTTGAGGACATGGTTTAATGGTGAACATGGCAGTGCTGGACTAATGGTTGGACTCAGTGATCTTAGTGGTCTTTTCCAACCTAAATGGTTCTACAATTCTAAAGAAAAAGCATCCTGATTTCCTGAGTTTTAACATGGTTTTAATGCTCCCCTATCCTCAGCTATTCTCCAAACAAAGACTGGTGAAAAGGCTGTTGAAAACAGAAGTCTAGACCCCAAGGAAATCTGCAGTTGGATGAACCCTAGGTCATATTTCCTCTGTTAACCTCTGACAACAGTTACCGCAAGCTGTGCTGTTACCAGATTTAAGTAAGTGTGGACTTGTTGCATCCTGCCTTTCCAATTGTTCTGTGTGGGAGCTTTCCCTGGAGCAAACCAGACAGAGACTGGCCACACAGCCACACCACGGACAACCAACATCATGCCTCAAGAAATAAGAAGCCACAACTGATGACATCCAGACAGCTTATGGTGAGGAGAAAAGGACTTACAAAAGACTCTGGGACCAATTTGGAGTGGTCATGCAGATCTACAGCCCATGATTGGCCAGAAGACTTCTAGAACATTCTATGAGAGACTATACATACATACATATATATGTGTGTGTGTTTGTGTGTGTCAGCCCCACTTCAGGGTCTTCTTTATGTTTTGTTTTGCACCCCTGTTTGTGCCCTTTTATTTATTTAATAAATATCTTCAGTTTTGACGCTTCAGTTTACCCATCCCTTCCTTGCTGCTGTGCCACATGACCACACCATTATCGAGCTCCCAAGACCAGAGGGTTTCCCCGTGCTCCCACAGATCCTCTGCTAGCTGGGTCAGAGAGATCACCGGCGTCAGACACGTGCTGCAGCACTCCTATTCACAGAGCTCAGCTGAATTACTTACTTGTTTACAGATAAGAAGACTTTTTCTTGGCCATCTATGATCTTCTTGCTCCTCACCAAAACAATCAAGACCTTCTTTCAGTGTAACTGGAAAGTTATGAACAATTTCCAAGTCCTTCTTGCATCACCAGCATGCTCTGGTGTGGCATTCACATTCTCTGAACAGAGAGACATAATTTTCTCTCCCAGGGTTTTTCCTGAAGAAGCACAGAAAAGAAGAGATAAATTTTGTATGTTCTGTATACACACTAGTGAACAGTAAAGTTGAGAGTTAGCTAATTTCTTTTCAGATTCATTACATTCAGATCCAATTAATTTGCAAGGTGCATGGCTTTTGCAAAGAGACAGGGCTCTGCAGAGCTGTTATAAAAATAATCTATTTGCAAAGGGTTGAGGTAATGTGTGGACCAGCATATGACATTTCACACTCATATAGGAAAGAATAAAAACATGGCATTTCCAGTCATAGATGTGATGATCATTCCCAGATGGTGTCAGACAATATGTGTACAGTGATACCAAACAAAAACTGATCACTCTTCCTTATGTTGAAAAAACAGTAAGGGGTGCACTGAATTAACGTCGAATTAATCTCAAATTTCTCCATGTGTTTGTGCAGTCAAATACATACCCTTTATGGACATATGAAAGCATGTATTGGAAAAAAATTGGCAAGAAGGAATTTCTTCCAATTATGAAGCTTCACATTAAAAAATCACAGCCAACTCTGTGGATGTGTCAATGAAAAAGTGGGCATGCTGCAAAGAAATGAAAATTTGAATGGACATTCAATGTGGTCTATTCTGGAAGAACCAAGAGGAGAAAAAGAATTTCAAGTTACTTAAGTATTTTTGTCAGGGAAACACCTTTGTGCCTCTCAGCCTTGCTCATGTAGCAAACATGGTGCCATTTACACAATTTTTAGACAAGGAATAAATGTATTGAACAACTGAACTTTGTAAAAAGCATAAACTTAGGAGTTTTTCTGATGTTTGGAAACATTTTATGCCTAGGATTAAAAAATGGAAAAACTATTTTTTATGTTGAAACTTTTCATTTAGCAAAAGGAATACTGGTTTTCATAATTGCTGAAATGTCATTTTAAATATTCTCTAACAGAGACTCATCAGCTCTTGGTTTTGAACTGATGTTTCTCTTTTTAAAAACTAACTTGTAAGTCTGTGTGGGTGACCAAATGCTGTGGAGGTAAAAACCACCTGACTCACATCCACCAGGAAAAGAACTATGGTATGATGACACAGCCAGGGAACTATAAATTGGGATCTGCCACATAAAGGAGAAAATGCATTCATTTGGGCCAAAGAGCTCTATAAAGCCCTTCTTTTTGTATGCAGACACATCCCAGAATCCAGCCTAGATTCCAAAGGCTCCTTAATTTTTTAATAGGCTCAAAAGTATGTTAAAAGTTGTACAAAGAAGACAAAGGTCACCTTTAAGGTTTTTACAGGCCTTAAGCACACAATCTGTTACACAGAAATGGGCTTTTTTATGCTTATCAGAAGTAGTTTTCATTCATAAAATACTAAGTATAAAAGTGGCTTCAGTAACTTCATACATATTGGTGAGTATGGGTAAAATTCTCTCTCTCTAGGAATGCAGAAGTTCATATCAATTTATCATAATTGGGGTGTTGATATTTGACAATTTTGGATATTTTCCCAGCTATTCCATTTCTGAGTCACATATTTTTCACCAAATTATTCCTCATACACCTTTTTATTATGCATAGAAGCAGGTAAGAGTGGTCCCAGAGAATGCCACAAAGCACTTACAAGGTTAAGTCCCAATCCTGTGGTCTCTTTGTATTCCCAAGAGAGCCCTGTGGCATTTCTCATGTCTGCCAATGTATTCCAGTGCTTCCCAAACTACAGGATCAACACCTTGGTCAGAGGAGAGGGTCACAAGCTTTTAACGGATCTGCACTAATATTTTTATCATATCTTTTATGTCTGTAATGTAAACACAGTTAAATAACCCATGGCACTGAACATTTCACTCAGCTATCCAGGGGTGAATATTACCATTTATTTGGGGACTTGTCAAAGTATTATTTTCATTACACTAATAAATACTGTAAAAGTCAAAATAAAAAATGTTATAAGTTCTGGAACATGTCTTATCTAAATCTATATGATCTGGAAATATTTAGCAGGGGAGTTCAGTAATACAAAACAGAAACAGAAGGGGTCCTGGGTAAAGCCTTAGGGAAATGCCAAACTATTAATTACACATTAAGCGAATGGTTTTTATTTTTGTATTGAAACAGCAACTATTCAAAGTCTGTGCTACAGTACAACAAAAATTATTCTCTGGTATAACTTAGTGCAGAAGTCAGAGTTATTCTGATCCCTAGAGTCAAAGTGCTTTAAAAGATGACAGAAATTGCATTGGGATTTTTTTTTTTTAATTAGGAAATAGGAGGGACAAATTCTGACCCATTAGCACAGAACTTGGCAAACACTAATTATAAATCAAATCTATGGTCTGCAAATATTCTTGCAAGTTTACCTGTATATTTACAATTTATTTTTCTCACCTAAATGATTTTCCCAAATTAAATTTAATATTGGTAAATATCACCAATACTCCTAACAGTTCTGATGAAGTCAAAAGGACTGCCCTAATGTGTAAAAGGAGAATGTTTGCCCAATCAAGCCCAACAGCTGTCCCATGTTGTTGCTTGCACTGCTGGCCATCCCTCTACACTAATAATAAATAATGAAAATTATCTAAAAAACCATCCCCAAATTCTTCCCTTTCCAAGGGAACATACCTCCCCAAGTCATAACCATAAGCCTTTCACACTCTGTACAAACATGGGAAATTTGCTTTTGTGTGCAAAGCCCCCTTCAATACTCAAGTCTTGCTGTGTACACCTATTTGTGTGTTTACACAAAGGCACAAGCTGTTTGTGTGTTTACATCAAAATGCAGACACTTCCAGGATGGAGAAGAGACTCTAATCAGAGTATGGATGCTCCTTTGTTCTGGGAAAAAGGTTATATTTTGGTCAGAACATGAGGGTAAATCCTCTCCTAGTATGTAAAGCACCACGGGATCTTTAATGTCTAGGCTGAGCAGACATGACCTCAGTTTTCTAAGGTTTCCTTAATTCCTCAACTCCCACCTGTGAAAGGTCACAGAGCAGTTCCAGTGTTACTCAGTTTGTGCTTTGCTTTGGATTTTTGGCAGGACTGTTTTAGGATTTAGCATGTTTGGGGTCTTTTTCTTCTTTCATTTGCCCAACTTGTTTTCTCCTCAAATTTGCCTGGTCCTCAGTACCATGAAATCACTTTTTATGAAAGTCTTGGATGCAGGGCCAGGGAGAAGATGTAATCTGGAATCTGAAACTAAACAGAATATTTCATTCCAGGAATCTTCACCTTGGTCCTTTTCAGCCTTTAATGGCTGAAAGCAGACCAGTAACTACAAAAGTACAATAAGTAAGCATGGATAATTTGGACAGTATGAAGAGGAACTGGAGAAGCTAATGTTCAAGTTAGCCACAAAAATAAAGTGCAAATAAAGATACAAATCTATCTTTGAGCAAAAAACTTCTCCACTTATTACAGTCCTTCAGGTATCCTGGTTAGCATGAAACCCTGTGTGTTGAATTCACCATCCAGCATTAAAGGGAATTCAGGAACCCCTGAATTAAAGAAAAAAGTAGAAGAGAACTAAGGAGAAATTTATAAAATAAATCTTTAAAGATTCTTGTTTAGTGGAAACCCTTCTCCTTCTTCTTCTTCTGACAGTTCCCATCAATAAAGATGTACCTATCTCATTGCTGATTGTGATTTCTGCCAGCTGTTCCATGTCAGAAACTGCCTTCCCTTAGGTAAAATTAGCAACCTGCCTAAGCATATAGGACTCCTAGCAATGTCCAAGAAGATGCCTAAAATTTGCAAAGGTGAATGGCATTTATATGACTTAAAATTAATAAAGCTTCCTTTTCAAAGGACTTCAATTTTCAGGACAATCCTACAATCCCTTTCCAGTTACACCCTGTAATTCTTAAAATTGCTGCATGTGAAAGAAGTGGAAAGTCTCACTTAGTCCTCCCTTCCCACAAGGATATTATCCACTTGACTCACTAGTTAAGGTCAACATAACCTTGAGGAAGTTATCACAGGGATAACTTGTCTGCTGCAGGAGGAACAGCAGGGGTTTGCTTTGAGGAAACTCACAGACCTGAATCAGGTGAGATCTCATAATGTGCCAGGGCCATTTAAAACCCAGAGCTGATCTGTGTCTACTGACACAGAGGGCTACCAATGGAAAATGGGGTGGAAGTCAATGCATAATGGTGGAAAGGAGGGACTGTCCATAGTAGTTCATTGCTCCAATTTAAAAAGTCAAAATAAGCTTGCCACAAGATGTTTTATCTTTTGGCACTCTGTCTTACATTTATTTTCCTCTGTCTGCCTCCTCCCCCAGGTTCCACTGGTTACATCCTTGCTTATTACTCTACAGTCATAAAGTTGTAAAAATACCTTCATTTCAACTATTGACCACTCTTAGATCTCCTAGTCCATAGCTCCTTTAATGAAGTCCTCAGGCAGCATTTCCCTGTATCCTTATCTGAGTTTGGTAATAAAGCATATCTTAAGCCAACATCCTTTTACAATATATGAACTAGAACTGGGCAAGCTTTGCATAGCAAATGTTTTATTTAGTAGACTAAGCCTTTTGTTCTCTTTCTGAATTATTATGGAGAAACTTTGACTTCAATTAATCTGGTTGTTATTCACAACTGTTCAAATAACAGTGTCAGTGAACATATTTCAGCTGTTTAGATGTTCTTAAATGATTCACTTCAGTTCTTTCTTTCACTATGTGTTACATGCTATTTACTCTTCCAGGGCTGTATTTGGTTTTACCCCACCTGGGGACAATATTCCCTAATTCTCACATCACTGGAAATGATCAAAGAGATTTCATTCTTCCCTCTTTTCTACTGTTGTCTGTTCCCAACACGTACTTCATACTTCATACAAAAATTTGTACAAATATATAATAAGTATCTGTGATGAGGCCTACTTTCCATTAACAGCCTTTCAATAAAAGTAATTAGGTATCCCCATCTTAAGGGAAATCATTAAAAGATCTGAGAACTTCATCTAATTGAAATGACAGCTTCAGTCAAATATCCAAGGTTCCTAAAAGTAACAAGGCAATGGAATATGAGACTTCATTAGTTCTGTACCTCACTGAGCTCCTTCTTTTTGTTGAAATTAGAATTTCTAAAATTTCTAAATATTTTTGTACAGCATTCACGTGACTTTAAAGTGATCTAAGTAGCACACATATCTTCAGATTAACTAGTATAAATACATGGTATGTAGAAACATAAATCAGAGACAAGTATAAATCAAGTATAGATCAGAGACAGAATACATGCCACTTTTCTATTTTTTGATTGTTATACTTCATAAAACAGTACATCCTGTCCATAATAATTGATCATGCATCTCCTTTTTTGAATTTCAAGAGATTACCAGAAACTGTAAAACTAGTACCTAAACCTCTATTTGCAGTGCAGCAAAACTGGAGTGCACCAAGTGCACTATTTAGTTCTGCTCCATATTGTGTGCCTCATGGCTCTGAAAACAGAGTTCCTGCAATGGTTTTCTCCACACATGCAGAAATAAGCAAAAGCAGCACAAATTTGTTAAAAAGAAAATAGACTAAAAGAACTACAATGGACCAAATTCTATCCTGAAGTCAACAGTGGAGCTGCAAGCACTTTTTTAAAGGGAGATTTTAGCATGTGAGTTCTCACATTTGAACACAATATCTGGGAATCAAAGCCTTTGTTTTGAACAGTAATGAACTGTGATTCAGGGAACCAGGTAAAAAGTACTTCAAACTCTCTTTAAATGTAGCAAAAAAATTTTAACCTGTATCCTCCATCATAAGCTTTCACTTACTGTATTATGTGATCATGTGTTTTCCTTTCAATCTGTTAATGTTATAAGTCATAAGAGCAATTTCTTCAGATTTCTGCTTAAAATTGTGGCTTTAACATTTACTGCATTTTGGCAATTTATCACTCTTTCTACCCTAGTATAGTACGAGCTCTTCAATTTGCTTAAGCAAATATTGGCAGCAAATCAAAGAAAATACTGTAAGTCCATGGAACACAATTTTAAACTATGGAAAGCACGGCAGGGATAGCCATGATGTGAAGTATGTTAGGCACACTAATTTTCCTATGTGGTATATTCTTCCCTGACTATATGCACACAAAGGAGAAAACATAACCCATGAAATGTTCTATTTACTAATTCCTGCAATGTCTTCAGAAATCTCTATTAATTTTTTTCCAAGGGTCATTACAGCACTACTTAGACAGTGGCAACCTGACTAATGGCATTTTTTAATCTTAGTATCATGTTTCTTCAGCATTTTCATTAGTGACATTTTTCTCTTAGATCTTCATTTTCTAGAGATGTACCACAGCTTTTTATTAAGCTTTCTGGTTACCAGGAACTCCAGCAGGGCACCAGAAAATAGTGCTATAAAAGACAATTGGGATACTGCTTGTGAACTTGCCTGGACCTGCCTACATCCACCAAGGCTATTTCCACCAAAGGGTGGCTTGCAACATGCTAGGCACAAGCTGTGTTTAATTCAGCAGCAGTGTGGTCAGGACCTTGCTAAGCTCCCCGTGGAGTTACATGGGATTTATACCAGTATGATTGTAATTAAGATTTAACTGTGACATCTAGCTGTAAAAATTTCTCTCCTTCCAATTTCCAGTGGCTGTAGAGCTCAATCTTCTCAAACACTTATCTTCTTTTCCATTTAAATTGCATACAGGTACCCCAGAGCATATGAACACATTTAACACTCAAGACTGCAGTGCTGTCCTTAAGGAATTGCCATAAATAATGGAAAATCCATGACCTAAAAAAAAAAAACCAAAATAAGACAAACACCAAAAAAACCCAAAACTGTAATAATCCATGATACACATTTTTCATCAGCACTATATAGCCTTGCTGCAGGTGCAGTTTTGCAGATACTGTAATTTATTTTTTTTCAGTCTGGAAACCAGTCACAATTCATAAAGATTATAAAACACATGATTTTATAAAACTCCATTTTACATTCATAGGAAGACTTTGCTTTTGCAGTTCAGCTTTCTTAGGCTAATCTTGGTTTTCCCATGATGGACATACCATGGACATTTGTAAAAATAAATAATAGAAGCAAACTTAAAAGTGTATTGACAACCTCTCTTTATAATCACCCAAGCTTTGTGCTTGGGTAGTAGGCATAGACAACTGCTCACACATTGGTCTCCAACAAAAAGCAAATAATCTCATGTTTTTTATTAAACTCCCCTCCTACCCCCCTCCTTGGTTTTTGGATAAATGTAGCCTGTGGTGAAGTCAGCAAGCACCAGTCAAGCCCAGGTGTCTCCTCCACTACTTTGTGAATGTGTTCCCCCTCATCAAGGTATCTGCTGCTCTCCTCATTCCTCCCTCTTCTCTGCCCCTCATCTTTTTGCCAAAGCACCAAACAAATGACCCACTGACCACAAATAACCACTACCCATCATATGATCCACTCAGAGGAGCTGCAGATAAAATACTTGATTAAGGTAATGATCTAACACCATTCTTTGCCTCAGTCATGGACTACACTGTATTTATTTATCCCATTGCCAATTCCAGTCTAGAATTGATTTCTAGAAAAAGATTTCTACCATACACTGTGCCAGAGACAACTGGAAAAGCCTCAGAGAAGCCTTGGATATCTGTTTCAGGATGGACTTAGGCAGTACCCATGGAATGAGTACCTGGTTATGCCTTGTACATAACTAATATTTAAAACTTGGATTACCTACAAATAAAAATACTATGGAGCTGGATCTCCTCCCAAGTCTATTCCCCAGATAAATGGTAGAAAGAAAAGAGATTAATTAATCCCAGCCATTGAGACAGACATGAACAGCTGCATAGATGAACTCTAGTCTCAAGCAACCCAGAGTCACACCACCAGGCAACTGTGTAGTTCTGATAATGCAAGAAGAAAGGACCGAGTGCCAAGAGCCACACTGCCTGAATTATTGGTGGTGAAATAGAAACCAGCCCTCCCCACATGTGCAGATTGAGTCAGAAATCCCAGGAATGGGGCCCAATACCCTCAGCACCAAGAGGACCTAAATCTAGAGCTAGCTAACATGAAACATGGGTAACAATAGGGTGTTAGCAGCCTCCTTCCACCCCAAACTGAAGCTTCTTTCCGTGTGCTGCAGAACACACTTTTGAGGTTAATAGCTCTAGACTAACTCTTGAAGCCCTTTCAGGAGCAAGCTAGAGATCATTATGGTGTTGAAAAGCTATAGTACAGAGGTTCTACCATCAGTGTCTTATGCAGAAGCCTACTGGATAGAGCACTTGAGCAGTTCCCTTCTCTAGCTGAAAGGTTCAAGCTCCCTGCCCTAACCACAAGGCACAACTCCAGGCTCTCAGGTGAAAATCACAGAAACATGGCTGTGTATCCTGCTGGGAAACTCACCTGGAAAAACTGGGACTCATGTTCCAGTCTCTGCTCTAAGGCAAATGAAGATGTTTTCCTATCCATTAATTCTGCAATGAAAAAAAAAAATCACTCTAAACACTCTGTAAACACACTGCAGAAATTCCTAAGAACACATCAAAGGCAATTTCATTAATGTAACAACTAAAAAACATTAAATGGTAGCCACTGAGTTTTGGGGCTTTTTTCTGCACCGCAAGAGGAACTAAAAACACCTCTTCAAAAAGGAGAAAAATCCTTTTCCCAAAATGGGAGCAGGGGAGGGAACTGAGCATGGATTTTTCATACCTTCAGTAAGAGCACTACTCTCTAGGATTTGGAAATGGGGAGTCACAAAAGAAGAGGCAAACACGACCTGTGAAAGAAACAATGGACTGATACATTCCTTTGAGGTTTTAGGGATCTTGTCTTGAGAGCTGGAACTGTCCTGCTCCTCTAAGAACATAAAGTAGATCTTCTGCGTTTGGAGACATAAATCTAACTGAAGTGTGAGCCTCAGCTGCAGACATCCTGATTTTTTAATGTTATTAAGACATGCTGACATTTAGCTGACTGAAGGTGATGAGCTGTGTAATGGTCACAGTAAGATAATTCACGTCAGTGCACACAGGCAGCCATTGTGTAAAGACTGGGTGGGTGACTTTAATAAACAACAGGAAAATACAAACTACCTCATCCTAGCTACCAGCAAGTGTTTGGGAGACCTGTCTAGTTGCCACGTTTCATACTATTGTCCTTGGGATTGCTACTACAGAGACATGTATTATGTTTGCAATTTCCCTTAATCAGAAAAGAGAGATGAGATTAGTTCCAAAAGGGTTATTACTATTTACTTGCTGCTTTTCTGGGTTATGATTTAGATGAAATTTCAGTAAATTTGTATTCTTTTTTGTCCTGCAGACTTTTCCAGACTACTTGCAAAGCCACAGACATCAAGAAGGAAAAAGGAAGGCCATAAAAATAGATATTCTAGAGAAAATAGAACTATCATCAATAAACAACTGAACAAGAGAAAAACACTAATTCATTTGGAACCTGAATATTTAGAGTTTCAACAGAACAGCTTTCTGTCTCCCTTACACAAGGAATTTCCAAACTGTAAAACAGGTTTGGAATTGTCATTCACTTTCAGTAGCATTAGACACAGAGAGCAAGAAGCAGGGGGCTAAAAGCAGAATTGACACAGTTCAGGAGCACTTAGAACTTGCTATCTAGAGAAACATCTGCTTTACTTCCATCACAGATTAATGAAACACCTCACTAATGTTGTGCATTTGTGGAGAGCATGAAGGTCTGTAGGCAGCACACGTATTTCATAGTGCACACTACTCCTGTGCTTTCCTTCTGAGCATCACCACCAGAGGCTTTTTAAGACTCTGCAGCCATGGAATTAGCTGTGGTATTGCCAGCCAGCTGTGTATTCTCCACGGACTTTGGAACAAGCTATAAAAGTAAAAAGGAAAACATACTTTGCCAGCTCTTCACAAAACAGAGCCAGCACTTTAAAACCAAGTGGGTCCTTTTCCGCCCGGCAAATGGTGAGGTCGGCCTCCCAGGTCACCACTCGGGATTACATCAGGGACCAACTGGTTGGGTTCAGGCAGCCCTGGCTTGGCCTGGCAGGCTGCATGAAGTGAACAAAAGCCAGACCAAGACAAGAAGTTGAGGGAATGGGATAAGAGGAAATTAAGAAGACTGTTCCAAAGGCTTTTAAATTATGATGCCCATGTTGTTGCAATACTATTGGAAAACTAAATTAATTGCTCCTTTCCTTAGCCCCCTCCTGCTGAGGCTGTATTTCTTTTAGCTAAGGGCCTGAGCCACTAAAGATGCATCCAATTTCCATGCTGTCCAAATGCTTGTAATCACAGATTTACAATAAACTGAGCTATCATGAAAAACAAGGCTGTTCATTAGGTGGTTCTTGGCCTTCAAAATTTTCAAGACAACAGAAGTAGTGGGAGGTAACAAATTGCCATAGAGTGGGCTAATTTCCAAAAATTTCTGATCACCTAGTTCCTTAAAAGCAGCAGACCTTAAAGAATTTCTGTTTAGGAACTCAAAAGCTGAGGTACTTTGATTCCACAGTCAGTATACAGTCACTACTGGAAAAAGAAAAGCTAACTATCTTTTTAAGATTTTAGTTTACAATTAAAATACTGGAAAGCCAAAGGTTTTCTAAGCACTGTAAAAGCACATAATAAAAGCAGAGCCCATTTTCTGTAGAAACCAGAGGTTCTGTAACATCACTATCAACCTGTAACATAAATTGCAAGGATGGTGCTAGATGGAAACAAACTTTGTTTAATACATCACAGTAAAAATCATCTAAATTTTGTTCATCAGAGCTTCACTTGGCACAGGTTATCAGAATCTCATTGGTAGCATTCCAAGAAAACACTACTTGTTATTTTTAAGATCTATCACCCTTTTTTGAGTAATTCCATAGCCATTAAACAGCCCCTGAGTGCAATCACAGTTATGTATACTAGCAAGTTCCCTGTACAGCACAAAGAACTATCTTAAATTGAAATGCTAAAGTATCAGAAGTTCCTTTTGTTTGTCCTTCTCCCCTTAAACACCCAATATGTTTGGTTGTTTTCTGCTTCTTCTTACTCTTCTGAGTTTTGTTTCTTCTTAGTTCACTCATGTAATTCATTGCAGACTTCAGGACAGTAACCTCTGTAGAAATTGCTAGTGGCCCACAGAGCTAGCATAAAATAAAAAATTACAAGTCTACATAACCTTAATTTTATGGTTATAAGCTATATTTACTGCAATAACATAAGTTTGAAAAGACTGCTAAGTGTTCAGTGTGGGAATGCAGGGAATTTCTCTCAAGTTAGTTTTATGGAGAAATGTGTTGTTAAACTGTAGGAAAGGTTACAGTCCTTTCAAGTGCTCCAGAGCTGAATGCCTATTAGGCATTTTTAGGGTATGTATAAAATACCCCAATCACTCCCTCAATATCACTCATAGAAATTCAGATTCAAGACCTTTCCTCTGTTCAAGTCCCTTTGGTTTTAACACTGTAAACTGATCTGAGTGAGAATGTTATCAAGGATCAAGGTGGTGGAATTTGCTCTTTAACTCTTGCCCACCTGGACTTCTTTGACTTGGAAGTGTTTCTCACTGTAGTATATAGACATGAGTGAGTGCACAGCAAAGCTGAAACTTTATGAACATGAGAGACGGGTGTGCTCTTAATGCTTCTATCCTGATTTTATCTAATGAGCCTGGGCAGGCTACAATCACCTGAGTAACTCAGTTTCTCCACCTGTAAAACTGCAATGACTACTTTCAAACACACGGGATCCTCTTGTGACCTGCCAAAGAACAAATGCTAACCAAGAGAACTGTTAGCTCCACACATTTCTCAGCCTCTCCTGCCCTCAATCCCTCACTCTTCTCTGCCAAAGCATGTGCCCACTCTCTTTGCCTGGTGACCACACAAAAAGCTGGACTGAACACTGCCTGTAGATAAAGACTTCACAGGATGCCTGCGTTATGGAGTCAACCTGCTCAGAGTCAACCTTGCTCATTAAATCCATGCACACTGCCTCCAGAAGGTGGATTGGCACAACTGTTACGTGACAGAAGCAGCCAGGATATGGAGACAGGGTCAGAAGACCTGTCTGCATAATAGACACTGCCCCATCTGCCCCTGAATGTGTTCCTGATGTGTCATGGCTCAGGGAAGATGGCAGGGAAGAGAGAAGCCTGCATTGAAGGCTATGCACTGCTCAGGGTACCCTGAGCTTCTTGGTTTGATACACAACACACCCCAGTCTTTTGAAAAATCTCCTTTCTTACCTCCATGATTTTAAATTATGCCTGCTATCCACATCTACTGCAAATGTTGAACTTTCTCTCTTCTCCTTGTTGCTCACATCATTATCATTTTAATTTTGCATTTATTCTTTATAGGAAACAGTTTATTACTTTTTACAGAATGTCAAGAGGATCTGAACCTGAAACAAGTCTTTGCAATTCAGCCTACAGTGTCATCTAAAAAATGAAAACAAATTGTGTGATAGAGAAACTGAGGAACAAATGCTTTCTGGCATTTGCTTTCTCTTTCAGGCATCAGGGTTTTCTAGAGTGCAAGGAAAAATTCTTTTTATCTTCCAGCTACAGTTTGCTAGCAGCATCTTTTGGTTTTAAATGACTAATGATCTACTCTTCCAGTGGAGGTCATGAAAATAAATTTTAGACTGGCCAAACAACCCCTTGAAGTTCAGTTTACCTTCTGCCAGATTTCTGAAAAATGGTAATGTCATTCTGCAATGCCCTCTGCTGGGAGATGCAGCCTGGAGCTGGAAGGAGAGCTACCAATTCCCGTCCTCCAGCAAGGAACAGATATTTGCAATGAGATGAACTGAATTTTCACCTTCTGTATGAAATCCTGACCCTGCTGAAACCAGTGAGGTCCTAGCTTTTAATTTTCAATTTGCCCTTAAATATTCTTCCTTTCGAAAACTGCACTGGGAAAAAAAATAAAATGTTTATTTCAAGTCCAAATGAAAACCTCATTACTCACAGACATGAAAATCTCTTTTTTAGCATTTGAGCTGTAGAAGAAGCTTTTTATGAAGAAGCTTTCAGCTGAAAAAGTCTTTCTTCTTGCCATTCTTCTAAGTCTTTTAACTATAAAACCCCCTACAAAATCACACATGAAAATGGCATTCATATTATACAGGTATGATTCTGCCTAACATATATTTTCACTGACCAGGATTCTTGTACTGAGAAAAGGAAGCTATGCAGTGAAACAAAGTGCACTGCTATGCAGTGAAATAAAAGAGTGTATCTGGAACCTGATGTGTGACAACACCAGCCCTGCCAGCTGCCTCACCTGTCTCCCTTGGAGATGCAGTATCCTGGGGCCTCAGGAAGAAAAATCTGAATCTGCCCCACTGAGGAGCAGGATATTAGTGTGGAGTTCACACAAACAGCACCTTCACCCCCACATGCACACTCACACCGTGCCCCTGTGGCTTAGGGAATAGCTTTTCCTAGTTCACAACTCTTCTGGAGAATCATCACTAAAAAATATGTTCCAGCCTTGGCAAGGGTGATGGAACACTATCTCTGTTTTGGTTTCAGCTCCTTCAGCTAGGCTGGTTTTACATGATGTTTGTCTCTCACCACAGCTGTGCAATGGGCATCCAGCAGGAAGAATTTTTCCACAGTAGTTCCCAGTCCTCTGTGCTTGATGCTTTCCCCTTCTACTCATGTTCTCATAGCCTAGGTCCTTCCTAGCAGGCCAATTGTCTTATATTTACTACTACTTATTATTTCTATCTGTTAAATGGAAACATTTTTACCTTGTGATATATTCTCTGCACTGACCTGCTTTATCACCATGCACCTCCCTCTGCTCCACTTTACAGGGACTGACACCCTTGGTGCCAGAGAATGCAGGTGCAGTAAAGCTGCACAGTGCCTGGCAACACCATTTTTATTTGAAGTTACACATAATTATCATTGAGTTGGAAGTGTGATCTCCTTGTTACACAGCCTTACAAGATGACAGTTTTTTTCCAGAAACTACTTTCCAGTGTTTGTCATGCCCTCGCAGAGATCAAAATGTTATGGTTATAAGAAGCTTTGAGGATTATGCCACGTTCATTAAAAGGCTCCCAGAAAAGTGTTTTGGTTTTTTTTTGTTTTGTATACTGTTCTGAAAAATCTTCTGCTTCTCTTGGTAAGCACCACGTCACTTGAAAATGAGCGTGTATGTTTACAAACATCCAAAAGTGAGTTGACCCCTCACAGCAAGGACTAAGATTGCCATTCTGGACACTTAGCTGTTCTTCTCACAAACAGTTTCCTTTACAAGAGAACTGTGTAGCCCAGGCAACAGGTGGTGGCTGCTCACATACTCCAACCTTGAAATTATTAATTGAGAGGAAGGTTGGAAGTAACTGAAGTTTTTCCAGTCCTCATACCCCTCATGGGTAAGACAGCTGTGCCAGCAAACTGAACTGAAAATCCACCCTCTGAGCTGGCACCTTCAATGGAAGGATTGACAGTGAAGTCCAAGACTGGGATAGCCTCCAGCTTAAGCTGTCCTTTGATCTGAGTCTGTCTCTCAACATCACAAACCAGTGTTATATGAGGAATCTTGCACATACTGTTAGTTTTTCTGCTTTCAAGAAGCTGTCTCCCAATCTAGTACCTTTCATAAAAAATTGAATTCACAGGAATGCTTGTTAGTTGTTAAATATATGGCCAAAAATCTAGATTTAGCCCTGAATTTTCTCATGTTGATGCACTGTACTACTAATAAGAAATAAGCAATGCCACTCAAAATGATGTTATACTGCATTGTGATGAGGAACAGGATTAGAGTAATATCCTGCAGCTGGGAGCAACGAGTTGTACAGTTCTACACGTGCTGGAGGCAGCAAAACACCTTGGGGAGAGGCAGTCACTGCATTACCTCCATCCCAACTTCTGGGACAAGAGATTGGAAGGCAGAAAGGCCTGTAACATGCTATCACCATATCAAGAATAAGATTGCCTCCCTGCAATCATTTCCCTCTTGTCTGGCAATGGGTAGCACTCAGAAACTACTTTGGTATTACCTGGCTCTGCTGACCTCTTACCATTACCTGAGCCCCCGAGAGTTCATTGTTCAGAGAAGTGGGCTGAGAAGAGTTCTAGTCAACCTCAAGTTAGGCTCGCTTTGGTTCCCAGAGAAAAGAGAAGAGAGAAATTAACATCCTGCCCTAGAAAATCTTTTTTGCCTTCATCACTGTTACGGCAAAATCCAGTTTTATCAGCATCACTGAGAAAGCTTTCAGTAGCTTGAGGATTAGAGAACATTATGGCTTCCACCCAGGACAGCCTTCCAGCTTTCTGTCCTCTCTTCCTAAGGATATATTGAGACAGTATATTAAAAAAGAGAGAGAGAGAGAGAAAGAAGCCATCATCTTCAAAGTAGTCATTCTGTACTTTTCCAGCCCTCAGCAATCAGTAACCTTTCCATTTGCACCCAAGCAGTCAGTAGGAGACATGATGTGAACAAGCCACTTCACTGATTTCCTAAGAGAGGACAAAATTCAGGGCATGACCTCAACTCCTTCCTTCTGGCCACAGCTTAGCTGAAGGCCCAGTATGTCAGATTCACCTCCATGTGATTCCAGGGACTAGTCTGGAATCAATTTGACCCAGTAAGTCTCTTTGATTGCATCAGGCCTTTCAGAAGTTTTGAACAACAAGGATCTAAACAGCAGGCAGCAATCTGCACAAAGCCAATCTTTTCAGTTCAACAATTTTTAAAGGTCTGTGTCTTTTTTTTTTTTCCATTATCTTTTTTGTTTCAAATGCTTTCCAACTGAGCAAATGCTGCAACAAGTTCATGGGAGAAGGCCTCGAGGCACCCCTGACTTTGGCACCATCATCCCATACACCCTCCATACATTTTTGGCACCTTGCAACAGACACGCTGACAGCCACAGGATTGATGGAAAGGGAAAGAAGCTGTTTTGCAGTCAGAACAGAACATACTCAGATTTCTAAGGCCATTTGAAAGAATGCCAGAATGATACTGGATTTCGGCATTCTTAAGCTCCTTTAAGATGATGCAGCAAGTGGTCTTTTCCACATGTGATGATGTATTTCAGGACAAGAGTTTCTTCAAGATTTTCCAAGCCTGTGGGCTCCTGATCCTTTTTCAAATTAAAGAGATGATAGCATACTGGGGAGAATTGTGATTAGTTTAAACTCTCCACAGCTGCAAGAGATGAATGTAAAAATTCCACCCAAAAATCCACTTCTTCTGGATTGAATTTACCTACATGACACAGAGTCCTGGCCAAGGGACCACTTAAAAGAACTGGAGCAGCATCAATGCTATTTAGTTTCTTCCATCACATCAACCCAGCAAAGGCTCACAACTCTTCTTCCCAACACATCTCCCCCAGCAGCACTGCCATGGATCAGGCAGGGTATTAACAGCGACCTGAGATACGTGGGGAGGAAAATGGAACAATGAAATAAAAGCTTAAGTATGAGGGAATTCAGACAGGGCTTGCAACTCATTAATTGAAATACACGGAGAATTGTAAAATACCTTGTTACCAAGAGGCTCTGCTTGGAGCTCTTAAGGACAGCAGACCCCACTTCATCACAGGCTGAGGAATTTAGAGCCATCTTGGCAACGGGAGGGTAAAGCACTGTGCTTTCCATCTCTGACCTAAGGAGATGGCAATGCTCTGTTTAGCTTAACAGGACCTCTCCCTCTAAATTGCTTCATTATATTTCTAAAAGAATATAATAATATGCAGCATTCACTGACACTGGGCGCACCTCGGGACATCGCACCTCCCGCTTGTCTCTGACGAGAGGGAAGGCAGAGCTGGCCTTGGAAGACTGGTGCCTCCCACGTTTCTCTGGATTTATTATCAGGGCCATAGGCCAGACCCACCTTTATGGGGCTTTCCTCAAAAATGCCTGCCCCGACTTCCCGGGCGCTATTGGGGATGCCAGCTGGGAATGATCCTGGTTTTCAGGGGGCTGAGGCCGCTCGCTCCACAACTGTTCCTAATCTACGCCAAAAACAAAAAAAAAAAAAATTAAAAAACAAAGACTTCTCCCGCGGAACTTAGCAAAGCCTAACCCTTTGGTTTTGCTCTAAACAGACCAATATCCAGCCCCGTGAACTGTACGACAGACGCATTAAGTTTAACCTCTATTTTAAACCCTTCACTGAGGCCCGTGAGGAGGACGGACCCAAACCGCGCTACTTCTCGGGCAAGCAGTCACAGGAAGGCAGGAAACACCATTGCGGCATGCGTAGTCGTGGCCGAGTGGTTAAGGCGATGGACTAGAAATCCATTGGGGTCTCCCCGCGCAGGTTCGAATCCTGCCGACTACGGCCGCGGTTCCGTGGCTTTGCGTTTTCCTTTTTCCTTCCCTTTCCCGTAGTTCACTGCCGAACGCCGGGAGCAGCGCAGCGGGGCGGCAGCCGCGGCCCGACCCCGCAGGAGCCCCGGGACCGCCCCCGCCGCGGCCGGGCGGGAGGGCAGACCCCGCCCCTGCCGGGGCCGCCTTGGCAACCGCGGGGCGGCAAGATGGCGGATGATCTGGACCGGCTGCTGGACGAGGTGGAGAGGCGGCTGTGCCACCGGCACGGCGGCGGCCAGGAGGACGAGGTGGAGAAGCGGCGGTGCCACCGGCATGGCAGAGGCGAGGAGGAGCCCGCGGCGGCCAAGGAGGGCAGGTTAGCGCTCCCGCCCCTCACGCAGCCTCCCCGCCGAGCCGGGCGCCGCCTGCGGGGCGCGCAGCCGTCCCCGCCCGCCCCGTGCGGCCGGGCCTCCCAAGAACCCGAAACAGGCGGGCTCGGGAGCCGCAACCGGGCCGGCGGTCGGCGAGTGTCACCTGCAGCCCGTGGCTTTGAAAGACCCAAATCATGTGCCAGCGAGTTTAGTTATTTCAGACAGTCTTTGTCGCCTGCGTGTACCGCAGCCTTGGATTAAATATGGCGTTAAAAGCTGCAGTAATTTGCCTCTGAGTTAGGGTTGGGGATTACTTGGCTCTGTTACTGACCTTATGATATAACCTCTTTGTATATAACCGACCTCAAATATCTAAAAATCTCGCCATTTAAAGCACAAAGAACTTTAGCAATAGCATTATCAAAGTTTTTATTCTCTTGATACTTCAGTCATTTCACTGAAATCACAGAATATTCAGAATTGGAAGGGACGCACAAGGATCATTGGAGTCCAACTCCTGGCCCTGCCCAGGACACCCCAGGAGTCACACCGTGTGTCTGCGAGCATTGTCCAGAGGCTTCTTGGGCTCTGTCAGGCTGGTGCTGTGACCACTTCCCTGGGGAGCTGTTCTAGTGCCCAGACACCCTCTGGGTGAGGAAACTTTTCCTGATGTCCAACCTAAACCTCCTCTGACACAGCTTCATGCTCTTCCTTCTGGTCTGCTTTTTTCTGTTTATCATTTTTCTGTTCATACTTTATTAACTATATCCACTACAATAAGCACTTAACTTACATGCTACACTTTGAGGCATCTGCCTCAAATTCCACAGTTTTCAAAGTGGTGATTTTGCCAGTTTGGTCCTGGCAGGGTCATTGCTTACACTACTGCCAAGCATTCCGTGTCTGACATCCCAGCCTGCCCTCAGGCTTCCATCCCAGACATCAGGTATCCATTCTGACCCTGAGGTTGCCATCCTGGCCCTGATAAGCATCTTTGCCTGCCCTTGGGTTTCCATCCTGACCATCAGATTTACATCCCAACCCTCACAGGCATCTCAGACTCCCTTTGGAAGGTCTGTGGACCAGAGAGGCTTGGCCAGATATCTCCACAGGTGAGCTGCTGAGCACTTACCCAACACAATTTCAGAGTCTCAGGAAAGGATCTTGAAGAATCCAATGACTAATGCCAGACCAGCACCTTTGGCCACATTACTGGACTTCCACGTTGTTTGCATAATGGTTAGATGTGCACTTAATTGTAGTCGATCTAATTACAATCTTGAAAAAAAAAATTACGGTTTTCTTCTTTCTCAGGAGCAGATTTGTTCTTGATTGGTTAATGCAGCGGTACTACAGGCCTCTTTCTTTGACAAAGAGCTAGCAAACAGCAGGCTTGAGTGTTACTTGAGCAAAAGCAAGTGCAGGTGATCTTTCTAAATGCATCCAGTTCTGCAGGAATTCTCTTCAGAACACCTGCAGTTGTGTAGCTTGAGTAGAGACCTTTCTCTGACCTTGTCGTATTCCTGCTGCTGAAGGTAAATGTGAAAAATCAGGGTTGTCCAGTTAATTGCCCAGTACTCAATTGGGAGTGGTTGGAAATTGAAAGAAGCAAGCAAAAATAAGACTTATGGTGGGACAACTCAACAGTGACTGACTCATATTCCTGCTGCTGAAGGTAAATGTGAAAAATCAGGGTTGTCCAGTTATTTGCCCAGTACTGTCATAGTTTTATTCACAATTGGGAGTGGTTGGAAATTAAAAGAAGCAAGCAAAAATAAGACCTATGATGGGACAACTGAACTGTGACTGAAAGGTGTTATCCTGCAGTTTACATCTGTTCAGTCATGATTTGGATGGCTTACCTGAGATACTACAAAAATATTAGGGGAAAAAGGCTGTAAATGTTTATATTTTTTAACTCACAGTTCTTAGAATTGCTCTAGTCATGCTACAAAAATGAAGGCTGGTTTATTTATTTTTCAGATCAGCTAAAGTGTTAATGAGTGCTGGCAGCAGTGAAGAAGATCTAGACGACATTATTGATGAAATCTGTAATGACAGCAGCTTTACCAAAACACCTCTGGTGAGTAGGGGTTTGCAGAAATTCAGAACAAGTCAGGTTCAACAACGGAAGTAAAAGCACCATAAGCTGAATTTTTTTAAGTAAAACATGAATGAAAACAAGCTGTAGAATGAACTTGGAAAATAAAGCAGAAAGGAAAATGCAGTAATCCTGTGGTGAGGAGCAGGAGAGATGTACTTACCTAGGCAATAACAGGAAATTAAAGGACGTGCTAGTTCAAAATAGAGCATAGTGTCAATGCTCAGAATCACAGAATGGTCACAGTTGGGAGAGGCACCTCTGAGATCATCTGGTCCAACCACCTGCTTGAGCAGGACTGCCTAGAGCCAGTTGCCCAGGACTGTGTCCAAATGGCTCTCAGTTATCCCTGAGGATGTATACTGCAGCCTCTCTAAATATCCTGGTCCAGTGTTTGACCACCCTCAGAAGTCATAAAGATTTTTTTGTACTTTTGAGTGGATATTCTTACACTTCAGTTTGCACCCATTGCCTCTTCTATCAATGATCCCACTGAGAGGAATCTGGCTACATGTTCTTTATTTCTCCCTGACATACCTTCATAAGGTTCTCCTGGCCATTGTTTTCTCCAGGCCATACAATTCCAGCTCTCTTAGCTGATGCCTGGTTGTCAGATGGTCTAAATCCTTAATGATCTTCATGGTCCTTTCCTGGGCCCACTCCATTATGTCCATGCCTCTTTTGTATGGGACAAAGTGCTCCAGACATGTCTGTGAGGTCATATCTGGAGTAATGTGGCCTGTTCTGGTCTCTCAAATACAAGAGAGAGATGAAGCCACTGGAGAACCTCCAGCAGAGGCCCATGGAGATGGTTAAGGGACTGAAATGCCTGTCATATGAGGAGCAGCTGAGAGAGCTGGGACTGTTCAGTCTGGAGAAGAGAAGGCTCCAGGGGGATCTTATCAATGTGTATAAATAGCTGTGGGTCTAATAAAGGAGGGGCCAGGCTCTCCTCCATAGTGCCCAGTGACAGGACAAGAGGCAAAGGGCATGCACCAAAACACACAAAATACCATCTGTACACAAGAAAACACTTTTCTTACTATGAGGGTGGTTAAACACAGGGACAATCTTCACAGAGAGATTGTGGAGTCTCCGTCTGTGAAAGTGTTCAAAATGCAGCTGGACACAGTCCTTGGCAAGCTGCTGTAACTGACCCTGTTTTGAGCAGGGGAAGGTCCCTTCCAGCTGAAATGATTCTTTGATTCTGTCTCATCAGTGCTGAGTAGAGAGGAGGGATCACTTCCCTGGACATGCTGGCAGCATCCCTCCTAATGCATCCCAAGATACTGCTGGCCCTCTGTGCTGCAAGGGCACGTTGCTGGCTCATGGTCAACTTGTTATTGACTGAATTTCCCACAGCCCTCTCTGCAAAGCTGCCTTCTGGCTGGTCAGCCCACGTGGTGTTCTGTGCATAAAGATTTTTCATCCCCTGGGGTGAGAGTTTGTGTTTCACCTTAGCTGAACTTGAAAAGATTCTTTTCACCCCATTTCTGGAAGTCATTTGAGGTCCTTCTTAATGGCAGCTCAGTCATCTGATACATCAACCACTGCTCCCCATTTTGTATCCTCTGCAAACGTCTTGTCACTTCACAGCAGGAGATGGAGATGAAGCTGCAAATTTACATTCTCAAGACAGTTACAATGATAGAAGGCATTTAAAATATATATTAATTTGGGTATCAGCAGTAGAAAATGGTGCTACTTATACTTCATAACCTCCTGCAGATTCCCATATTTTCATGAGTGACATTTTTTTTGTCTTGTTTTTGATTTTTTACAGAGTGATTAAATCTGAACCAACAAAAAATACTTCTGTATATCTGAAGGAGAGAGAATTATGCCAGTAAATTTGTATCATTTTATCATTTTATATCCCTAGAACTTCCCATTTAGGATCTAGAGCTCTCATATTCTGGAATTCAAATAAACTCTTCTGTGTGCAGCAAATAAGAAACCTTTCAAAGACTCTGTCTTTTTCAATAATCTAAGTTCTTGATGGGTTTTAATGAAACAAAAGCTAAAAAACATAAAGGAAGAGGGTTTCAAATTATAACTTTTTAAAAGCAAAATTATCAAAAGAAGGTCACAAAATACTAAGTCTTGATTGTAAAGTCTAAGTAATCATGTGGTGTGGAATTCCTTCAGCCACAGCTGGAAATTCAGTGTGGGAAGATAAGACTTGTTCCTGATTTACCTGTTACTTCACAACCTCACAAACTTGAACGAGAAAATTCCCAAAGTCTTAGTCCCCTTCTTCTGTGACTGAGATTTTCTGGCTCCTGGTTATTAAGTAAAACAGAATATTGTGACTTTGCTGTAATGCTGCATTTTATTCTTTGGTTGTTTTTAAACAGAAATTGAAGTCTAATTCTTCAAGTCTCACTCCTGAAAGAAATAGTATTGTTGTACAGGCACGTGGGAAAAGGTAGGTGAAAAATGTTCTGGCTTGTTGGACATTGCTTGATTATAACTTCTGATCAGGCTAATAATACTGCTGCTCTTTAATCTGTGTTGACATTTCTTAAGAAAGACACCAAGAAGAGAGTCTTTTTAAAGAAAAATCAAAGATAAGCAGGTAATTTCAAAGAATTGTTAATGTGTTTTCATGTGGTCAAAGTAATTTATTATAAATTGATTAATTATTTAAGCTATTGAACAACATCTTCCTTTGTCTTATGGACATATACATTTATCAAGTGCTGCAATATGTAGATCTTTGTATATTTGGCATAGAGAATGTTTTTCATAGAGTTTTTTTTAACACTTTGAAAATGGAAATTTTAAAGTTCTGTAGTTTACAAGCATTTGGATGCTTTGTCTATATTTAAAAAAAAATATAAATACGATGCTGTTAAACTAGGAGAAATGTTATACTGCTTTCTCCAACCTGTTTTGCTATAATTTAGTATTTTTTAATGAATCCATGTAGATGCTGTCCAGTGTACTTGGGTGGAAGCCTTTCACCATCTGGGATAGGAACAAATATTTCAAAAAGGTAGGAAACCTGAAAAAATATGTGCTACTTGCTTTATCATTGTTTTTATTCACAGCTGTGTTTCTGTGGTGGTACAAAATTCTGCTTTTGAACTGGGCAGGACAACCTTGCAGTCATCTGAAGAAGTGGCTGCCTGTAACTGCACTTGAAATCAGCTGGTGCCTTCCAGCCCTCTCTTGCTGACCACTTGACCTTTTGTTGGTTTGAGGTGGTGAAAGGTGCTTGCAAATGAGATGTGAAACCAAAAATCCGTAACAAGTAGTTAAGGAAATTGCTGCTGCGTTGTTATTTTTCCCTGCCTCTCTTGATCTTTCTGTGTGATGCCAAGTATGTGACTTAAATCAGTGGGTTGGTTGAAATCTCCAGAACTTGAACTGAAAATGGTCAGAGTACTTTGCAATTGCAGCTGAATTTAGCAGAGGAGGTACTTTGATGATTTATCCACAACATTCTTTAGAACATTACTGCATTTCTATGTGGCATTTTTTGTAGTAATTAATTGTGCACTCAACACATATTTGGGTGCTGCCCAGGTGTTGTATCAGTGAGGAAGACTAAGGAGAATATATCAAGTGAACATCAGTTTATTTTATGTGTTTGGTGAGGATAGGAACCTGTAAAAATAATACATGAACATATAATTAAATCCCATACCATAATTCTGAGCATGCCAGAGATGTAAGGGCATTAAGATTAGGTGACATTGCTTCTAGTCTTTCTGAGTGCTGTACTTTGACCCATTTATGGTGGATGTATATTGTATCAGTCAGCTTCTCTGATTGTTCTTCTCTGTCCAGAGCGTGTGATCAGCTGCGTTGTACTGCTTGTGACTTCCGTGTGTCACTTTTCAATGACTACGTCTGGGATCAGTCCTGTGATTATCTTTTTTTCAGGTGTGTCTGGGGTGGCTGTTAGTGTTGTGCTACCATGCTTTGGAGCTCAGTAAGAAAAGATGAAAAGCCCTTAGCAGTGCTGTGTCACCAAAAAGCATGCAGAATACCTGTTTGGGATCAGGTGGGACAGTCTGTGGGGAGGGGGAGGCAACGTCTCCCAAAATCTGTTTTCATCCATTTCTATCTCTTCTCCCATGACTCCCCCTGTGCTTTCAAAAATAATTCAAGTTTCATGGCTGAAAAGGCCAGGTTATTGCTGAAATAAGCAGGTAATCCATGTGGTGGGTTGGACTCTGCCAACCAGTGCAGGGTATCTGCAATGTCAGCAACATGAATACAGGCTGCTCAGCATGTGCTTTGCACCTCACCTTCACTCATACAGACTGATGGTTTCAAGGCAGATGTTCTTTTTTCCACTATCAGGTGTGCTGTCATGTTCTGTGAAATTCAAATAGCTTTATTTCTTAACAGATTTCTTTATTGAAATACATTAGCTATTCTCTATATTCTCTATTGGTTAAGTGGAGAGGTGGGATTTTTGTTTTCTGCTTGTATTGTGATGTTTTTAATTCTTTAAATAGTTTTTGAGGACTCTAAAGGAAGAAGTTGTTATTTCCAGTTTCTCTAAAGCTAATGCCAAGACTTAGTGAAAGATAGTGTAGTAGGCACATTCCTAACAGGCATCAGATTTGGATTCCTCTTATTTTAGTACAGTCTCTGTGTAAGCCTGGTAACTGATGGAAGAGGTGGATGTGTTCAGAGTATGTGCTTGGAGAGTCACGTGACAGTCAGAGAAGAACATTAATGGAGATACCAGCTCCTTTTCCATTATTTTTCCCGTGTTATATCTTTGGTTATTCCAGTATTTTTTTTCCAGTCTCAAAATTTGTATTTCTTATTGACTATCATTATTTTTCCCAGTATTTAAAGCAGTTTTAAAAATACCATGCTGCACTAGTCTCCTAAGATTAGTTTGATAGTGGAAAAGATTTAAACAAAAGTGAGGTTCTTTTATTTACCCAAAGTCAAAATTATTTTGCTTCTCGGAACTTGAAAGTAATAAATGAAACAAAAGAAAAAAATCACATGAGCAGCATTAGTATCAGATACCTGTAACATTGATTAAAATCTGTAATCTGTAGCAAGATATTTAGCTGTTAATTTTGACAAACCTGAATTTTAGAAAGAAAATTTTAAGGTTAAACATTTTCCTTCCATCAATAGGTGTCTGATCTCTTTTTCTAAAAATTCTTCCCTTGATAATAGTTTTGCGTTTTCTTTATTTAATTGGACTTGTTAATGTTGTTTTTGAGCAATTCAGTGGCCATGGCCAGGAGGAGGTCATGAGAGCAGAGATAGCTAAAATGCTACATTTTCACTTGGATTTTTTGAAACAACTTGGTCTTGTCATAGCATGCTGATTTTTCATTTGTTATGGTTAATGGCTGCACAGGAGTTATTTCTGGTTTGATGTACATTCTACCCTCTTATGGCCATTTCATTTCAGTCACTTTAACAATCACCTTAAGTAGCAGTTTCTGATGAAACATTTAACTCTATAATTTTTCCTGTTATGCATAGCAATTTTTACAGTAAGTTCGATAAGATAAATACATTTTTGCTTAATTTTTTAACACAAGAATTAGCTCTGCTTGGTTTTCTTTACAATTCTTTCTCCGGAGGCTGACTGGAAATCTCTAAACCCAACAGATAACATTGTTCACAAAACATCGTCTGGGGTTTATCTGAGAACACAGAAACTACACACTGAGACTGCTCTCAGGAAAGGAGTGTTCAAAACAGAATTCAAATATATCCCTAAATTAATCCATGACAGCAGTACTCAGAATTGTCAAGATGTCTTCTGATTTGAAATGGCCTCATGAATATTTTTTCTTTTAAAAAAAAAGCCAAAACAACCCAGAATAATCCTAAGATGAATTCACTTCTTTGGCAGGAATAACATGCCTGAGCTCAGTAAACTAAGAGCAAAGATGATAAAGAAGAAAGGAGCACGTGCCTATGCTTGTCAGTGCAGCTGGAGATCCATTGATGAATTAACTGACCTCCAAACAGAGCAGCAGCTTCGGTGGGTTTGTGGTAAACATGGAGAATGAAGTCTTCTTGTGTGGGATACCTACTTGTCTGGAAATGGCTCTTAAAATCAATTTGCTTCCTGTGCAGTTCTCTGAGAACAGGTGGAAAATTGAATACTTAGATCCAGAAATAGATTATAGCATCTTGAGACTCTTCCTCACATCTAGCAGAGAGCCTTATTTCCCATGTCTGCAGAATCCTGGATTCAAAATGGTGGGTTGGGAAACAACCATGACACACAAGCATATGAATTTCTGCACAGAAGTGAATCCTGCTCTTCTGCTTTGCTCATTGTTGTTAATGAGCAAGTGGTTGTTTATCTCTTAAAAAATTACTGTGGGATCAGCTCTCATCCTCAAGGTTTCAGCACACCCCCAAACTGTACTTACTTTTACCCACCAGTAACCAAAACTGCAGGTGCTAAACATTTTCTTCCAGTTCCTACTCCTTTCTTCAGAGCACTTTCTGTTGACTAAGGACTTCTGCCACAATGAATTTCTTGAACTTCTCTTCAGCCCTCACTGCACAAGAGATGAAAAAATTACTGTGCAATTATTAAATGTGCAGTTTTTAAATATGCAATTTCAATGAAATTCTGAAGGGTATGTTACTCTTTTTATCAGTATTTTTAAGAGAAAAAGGCTCAAGCTTTTAAGAGTGAGAAAATATATATCCCCACTTGTAGCAGGCACAGGGCCTGCAGTGGCCGGCCGGCATTCCCCACTGGGCTTCTGCCCTGAGGGTAATAGCCCAGCCATACCCACTGATGTTCAAATTCAGATTTTTTTAAGTTTCACTTACCTTTCACTTCAGTTTCTCTTTAAAAAATTTTGTCTTCAGAAGGTGCAACTGTCCTGTTTCAACATACTCCCTTCCCTCAGTAACTTGTTACTTGGTGAGTTATGTTTCTTACAGTCAGTCACTATAGTTAAAGAGATTTTTCTTTTCATTATGTGTAAATAATAGAGAAGATAGATTTCAGTTTTATGCAGGGGGAGAGCGAGGAAGGAATAACCAGTCCTGTCCTTTACTAAGTTGAAAAGTGTCTCAATATGGGAAGTTTGTCAGTGTTTTTGCTGTGCAGTATGTGTATCTGTACAGATAAATTCAGAATTACTTTGGGCAATTCTAGCTTTAGAGAGCTATTTCTCTTTCTCTGAAGTTTTGCTCATGGTTCTAATCTGTATATTTGTTCTGTTTCTGAGCCTTTCCAAAACAATTGTGTGGTCTCACAGAGGTGATTCCTGTGTCTGTCGCCCTCTGAAAGAGCAGATCTCAGCAGTGATCAGAGGCATCGTGCACTCTGCACCCTGCTTACCTACTGTCCTTCCAAGAGTGCTTCTTCTAGAGCCTGCAGAGGCCCAGCAGTGTGCCTGGGAAGTCTGGCAGTGCTTCCTCAGTGCTCCAGGCTGCTCCTTCCAGTGCCCATGCAGCCCTGCTGCAGAGTCAGAGGTGAGTTAGCTTTGGAGAGGTACTACTTGGCATGATGGTGTAGACAAGACATATTTAGGGTCATGTTTTGTTTTCAGTGAATTTAGTATTTCGGGCTGAGGTTTCAACTGCTGGAGTCCAAAACTGCAGTTTCAGGACCAGAGACCTGTTGACTATTGCTCAGACAGCTCCTAAAAGAGCTCTGCTTGCCTTTCTGTCCTTTGTGAAGATGTAGCCCTGGTCTGGGCTGTATGCAATGAGTGTTCCTGGGTGTTCTTCAGGTGGGCCCAAGCAACTTTCATGCCTAGAGAACATCAGTGCTAAGAATAAGAGAAGAACCCAGAGGTAGATAACAAGCTCTGAGAAAGAAGAAACCTGCTTTCCATTCTTCTCAAAGAATGCATTTCAAAAAGTGCTGAGTTGTCTTGGCTTTTGTGTTTCAAGGCTATTTGAAACTCATGACCAAATAGTTCCACAGGGTGTCTTTTGGCTAGAATTGTACTGGAACTTGTGCCACAGTGTAGAAACAAGTTGGACTTGCAATCTGTGAGCCAAAAATGGGGAAAATCCTAATTCCCATCTCAGTTCATGAGACCAAGTCTCATGTGACTAGGAAAGGGATGGTGGAGTGTCTCCTGTACCTCCCTGAAATAATCAGGTTTATTCAAGTGTAATTAACTTGTTTCTGGCCTTGGTCAGAGTGGTGGGATATGACAGCTTTTTGTCCAAGGGAAGTTGTAAACAGGTACAGAATAGTAGTTCTTTTACAGGTTTTCAGAACTTACCATATTTCTAGATTTGAGGATAATTGCTGTGTCATTAGATAAAATTATTTTGTTGGAAGGAGGAGCAGTATTAAGATTTGATTCCCTTTCCTTTGCTTTCTTCAGTTAAATGTTACAAACCACTCCAAAGTCCTCAGATGAAAAGAATGTAAAGAAAGGTAAAACTAGAGCTTGAATGTTCGTCTGATGAAGGTATTGTCAGATTGTACAAGGTTCTCAAGATATAGCCCAGACCCTCAGTGATATTTCTGTGTTGATTATCTGAGATAGCAGGGATTATGTAGAGAATTCTCTTTAAGAATGCAACTCAGCTGTTGTCGAATGGAAGTACTGGAGAACAGTGTTGCTAAGTATAAACAGGACCACTGTTTTCCTCCAAATTTTTGCTTTGGAATATTAATACCATTTCCAATTGTGAAATGGGCAAGGTGAAAAGGTAACACTTTTATTTTGCTTACTGATATGCTTGGAAATTTTCTAGCCTGTCCCATTGGTCTGCAGCAGATCCCTCAAAAAAAAGCAATGAAGGATGAAAAAATGAGATTCCATAAACTTTTAATATGCTGCTCTGACTTATCTATCACTTGTTTTACCTGCAAACTATGGAGGGTGAATATAGCTCAGAAGAGTCATTATTAAGACTTGACCTGCCATTAAAGTAACTTACAGAAGCATAATAGCATTACATATTGCAAGCTCTGCACTGTATTATATCAAATAAAGACTTTTTTGTCCTAACACCAGTTTTAGTTTTGTACTGAAGATATTCTGCAAATGCTGCCACTTGCTGATAGACTGCCACTTTTCTTGTTTCCTGACATGTGAGTCTTTGGGTCATGTAACCTGCACATGTGGTAGTCACACAACACATGAAGTGCTATGTTGGGAGCTGCATACACAAATTTTTCTTCCTGCCGGGCTCTTTTTTCAAAAGACCTGACATTGTGTCTGTGGTGTGACACCTAGTAACTGCAGGCAGGTGGAGTAAAGGAACATCAGGTTCTGCTCATTTGTGAGGGCTACATCTGATGCCTAGGGTTTGGCTTGTGTGCGTTGGGAAAGTTTTTCAAATGTCAGCATTTAATAAAATGAAATGTTGGAACTAATCTGAGTCTTGTGTTGTGTGAGTTCTAGTGTACTGTTCCTATCCAACAGGAGCCTTATAAAAATGATGGTTTTTGTCAGAAGTGTTATGACATGTCCTTAGTTCAAAAGCATTGTCCAGCTCATAAGAAGCAATAAGTACTGTTGTGTTTTCTCACATCAGTGGGGGTGCAGCAAATAGAGGAGAATTAAAAAAGCTTTAACATTCTTTACCAGCTCACATGAGGAAAGCACGTGAAGCTATAGAGCGGTCATAAAGGTGAGTGCACTTGCCACATTTCTTGGATGTTTGCTGAGGATAAAAGGTGGAGGCAGGTGCTGTACAGGGTGTCAGACAGCTAAACAACTTGCAGAGTGGGGTGCTGGTAGCCTGGTGTATCAGTCATGCATTTGCTGTGGCCCACGTGCCCCAGGTCTTGCTGTAGGAAACTCTTCTTAGTACCAGGGAGGAGTTGCTCTGCATATGGAAGTTGGAATTTGTTTCTCCACCATCCAGAAATGCCGTGTGGCTTACATTAGAGTAACAAACATAAATACTTCCTGTACCTCATTCTGAATTTGGATTCCAGGCATGGGTGCTATTCGGGCAATAATTATTTCCCCAGCTTAATTGGCAGTGTGGACACAGTGAGGATCCTCAGAAACCAGCCACTGCCTCAGGAGTACTCCTGACTCATTTAGGACTTGCAGTGTCACAGTGACATTCATATTTGTTTCATTCACTTTGATAACTTCTTTTTCTGTTGAGTTAGAAGTATGTGATCAGGGTTAATATGTGATTATGCAGTCCAGTCTGCAGAGGGCAGAGCAGCACCGCTGAGAGTTACAATTCAGGCTTCTGCTTCACTTGTTCATACTCCTGTTTTTTTCTGTAATAGTCGTTTACATTCAGCAGACCAAGGCTTGCATTTATCTCCTACTAGTGTCATTATAAGTGGGGTAGCCAGATCTGTAGGGATTCCAGTTGATTTTTGTATTAATTCACCCAGATGGTCTTCAAGTGGTCCTTGACCAGTGAAGTAGATTAAATTTTTAACTGTCATGTAAAGAAGCATAAAAAAACTCTTTGTGTGTCTATATGTAGGTATATTTGTGTATGTTTATCCTCTAATATCAGTAGAAAACCTGAATTGCCTCGTGATTTTTTCACCCTGCCCAAATTAATTTTCCCTGAAAATGTTAAATCATTTTGGCAAATAGAGGTTGCATATGTTAGGATCTTCTAATATTCAATAGGAATTTATATAGCACATCACCCAAGGTGACAGTTCTTTAAAAGGAAATAGTAAAAGTTCAAAATTTAGAAATAAAAAGAGTTGTTCCTGTCTTTCCTGTAGGAAAGCAATGTAGACCAGAAATGCTGCAGAGCAGTCTGAGATACAGCATGGGAATCATCCAAAGACCTGCATCCTGCAGTCCATCATCCATGAGCCACGGCTGAGGTTAGTGAAGTCTCACTCTCTGAACTCTTCTGGTTCTTTGGGAGTCCAGAAAGGAAGTGTACAAAGCAGATTTAAAGTGCATGGAAGTAAACATTATTTCCAATAACCAGTGAAGTTGTGTCTGTCTGTTGCAGAAGTGACAAGGTGCTTTTAACTAGAATACAAACATGCCTAAACTATGAAACTAAAATTGACGTATTTTACTCTTAAAATAGGGAGTATGATCTGAATTTAGCCTAGTTACGCCATAGGTGAGTGACCTCTGTGACACTTCATTTTTTACTTACTTGATTTCTTCTAATAGGAGAAACAGTTGAATTAAAAGTTTAATAGAGCAGAAAGGAACAAGCAAGGCTGAGTAGCACACTGTCAGAGGTTTCATATATGTTTTGATAAAACATTTTTTCAGATAAGAAATAAGCCGTTGGTTTTTGTTTGCTTCTAAACTAAAGACACACGTAAGTGAAAGAAATAAAAATACCATGCTACAAGGAGAGGTTCAAATGTCCATTTGCCAAAAGCAAGAACAAAACTTCACATGGGAGGTGTCCTTTCTAGGAATCTTTTATGATTGCAATTCCACAGGCTGGTCTAGAAGATGGGCGTGAATCCACCACCCCCACCCCCCACTAATTCCCTTTTTCACGGTTTCCTGTAGTATTTTGAAACCTGTTTCCTGTTGTTAGGTTTTACAGATAATAGCTAACATAGATATTATATTCAGATATAATAGCTAAGATATTCAGGGTTTGTAAAACCCTCTTAGACAGTGGTTAAAAACTGTTATTCAAATATAAGCAAAAGATATTGAAGTTTTTTAAGAGAGTTGAGTGAAACTGAAACCCAGTCAGCTTCAGAACTTTTTGCTAAAGAACTGGGAAGCAGAGAGGAGGAAAGGCATATTCACAGTAG